ATTGTGGTTTTTTCCTCACTGTTTGTTGCTTTATTAATTTATAATAAATTAATCTTTGTTAATCTTTAATTTGCCGTTGCATTTATAACATAGGGGAAAATGGAGATTTTGGGGGAAAAGAGGAAAAAGGAGGGGAAAGTGTAGAAAATTGGGATTTTGGGGTGGGGAAGAGGGAGAATTTGGGAAAATTGGTATTTGGGGGGGAAAAGGGATAATTGGGGGGGAAGGGGGGAAAAAAGGGGGGTAAATTTAACTTACAAGGGGAAAACTGGGATGGAAGGACCCCAGTCTAATCTCAGTGCTCCCAGTTTGATCCCTGAGGGACTCCCACTGCCTTTATTTGGACCTCTGGTAAGATCCTGGTGCTTTTCTTTGGATCCCTGAGGGAATCCTGCTCCACATTTCCCAACATTTCGAAACCCCCCCGCCATTTCCCCTCACGGCTGCCACCATCTTGCCCCATGATGTCACTGTGACACATCCTCTCTAATTCCCTCCCGCCACCTAATTCGTCTCCGCCAACGTTGTGACCCCCGTGATCTTCCTGGGCCTCACTCACTGACCCCTGGCCTTGCCCTGGTGGCTCCGGGATGCTCCGAAGCGGCGGGGCCAAGCCCGAGCCCTCACTCAGCTCCTCACTGCCATCGTGGCCCTGCTCCCACCATTTTTTACCGCGTGCTTCCTCCCTCCCTTCCTCCTTCTCCTCTCTGCCACCGCGCATGCGCGGAGTGCGCAAAACTACGCCTCCCATCAACCCCCTTGCTAAAAACCAGAAATGAGGCAGGGCGTTATGGATGCTGACCAATCAGCTCAAAGGGGGCATGGGAGTGGCAGCGGCACCACCCAATCGGAGCAGAGTGATGGCGGCAGCAGTGCTGTGTGTGGTGGGTGTGGCACTGTCCCTGTACACGCTGCACGTGGAGGACGAGGCCATGCGGGACCCGATGTGCTGAGCTGCCTGCAACCTGGTGCCCTCCGTGTCCTGCACCCGCGTGTTCTCCTCCCGGTAAAAAAAAACCCACACCCGGAATATCCCAGGAATAACGGGAAAAGAAGACTGGGAACAGGGAATGGGCGGGGCTTGGGTGCGGTGGTGGCCAATGGGGAGAAGGGGAGGGGCAGGCCGCCAGGGGGTGCTGTCGGCAGGGGGACATGGCAGGAAAAGGCGCGGCCTTCACATAAAGGTGGGAAGGGGCAAGGCTCGAATTAGAGGCAGGCTTTATTCTAATTATATCCATTTATGACATAAAGAGGGGTAGTTTATGCCCATATTTGGGTATGTAGGTGTAGCTTGTGTTGTGAAGGCGTGGCTTGTGTGTGGTTGTACCTATATATGAATGTGGGGGCATGGCTCCTGGGTGTGACCACAAACAGTCATGAGGGCGTGGCTGTGTTGTGCCCACATTTAGTTAAAAAGGCCACAAAGGTGTGGTTTAATATAGCTATGACCATATATGGACATGGAGGTGTGGCTTAACATAGCTATATGTTAAATACATACATAAATATAAACATATATATACAGACATAAAGATGTGGGATTGGGTGTGGCTTAGCTAAGGGAGCATGGCTTAGGACACCAAAGCACCAATGGGAGCTGGGGGGCGTGGCTTAGAGCCAAGGAAAGCCACCTGCACACCTGTCCACACCATATATGGGCACATGGATGTGTCTACCTGCTGATGGGCATGTCCCAGCATTGCCACGTCCCTTTTTTTCTGCAGGTGGGGACGTGGCCTGGGGCTGATGGAGCCAGTGCTGGGCAAGGAGAGCACCCTGAACGTGCCCAATGGGGCCATCGGGCTCCTCTTCTACCTGCTGCAGGGGCTGCTGAGTAATGGGAGGGAGTGGAAGGGGATTGGGAGGGACTGGGATGGACTGTGAGGGGATTGGGATGGACTGCAAGGGGAGTGGGAGGGACTGGGAGGGGACTGGGAGGGACTGGGATGGACTGGGGACACTGGGCGGGACTGACAGAGACACTGGGAATGAGGTGGGCACAAACTGAGGACACCAGGGAGCCCTTGGGGTCACTTTGGGGTCACTGTGCCCCTCCCGGTGACCCCTGCCCTTCCCCCAGGTGTATCCCAGAGCCAGGCGGCCTCGGTGACGCTGCTGGGGACCTCGGTGGCCTTGGTGGCGGCATCACTCTGGCTCGTGGGGGTGCTGCTCTTCGGCCTCCGGGACCAGTGCCTCATCTGCCTCAGCACCTACGGCCTCAACCTGGTGCTGCTGCGGATCAACCTGCACCGCCGGTGCCGCCCCAAGAGCGACTGAGAGCCCCAAAACGGGGGAAAGCGACCTGGGACTGGGGGAAAGCGACACAGAATTGGGGAAAAGCAACGCCGAATTGGGGGAAAGTGACCTAAAATCGGGGGAAAGTGGCCCAAAAATTGGAGAAAAGTGACCTAAAATAGGAGGAAGTGGCCTAAAATTGAAGAAAAGTGATCTAAAACTGGGGGAAACCGACCTAAAATTGGAGAAAAGTGACCCAGAATTGGAGAAAAGTGACCCAAAATTGGAGAAAAGTGACCCAAAATTGGGGTAGAAGGAGGCAACGTTACAGGACGTGGAGGAAAAGTTACGTTAAAGTGTCTTAAATAGGTCAAAAATGGCATTAAAGGCAGCTAAAATTGTATTAATAGCAACAAAAATGGCAGTAAATGGGGCAGAAATAATATTAGACATAACAAAAATGGCATTAGAGGTGGTAGAAGTGCATTTAATGGAGCAAAAGGGGCATCAAAGGCCACAAAAATGGTATAAATGGATTCAAAATGGTATTTAATAGATCCAAAATGGCATTAAGTGGATCCAGAAAGGCATTCAGGGCAGCAAAAATGGCACAAAAGTGACCAAACGTGACATTAAAGTGTCTGAAATGGCTCAAAAACTGCATTGAAGTGATCATAAGTTACAGAAGTGTACAAAATCCCCCAAAACTGCCCCAAAACTGATTGAAATTGCCTCAAAACCCACGTGGGACCCATCTTTTCCTCAGTTTTCCCTCAAAAAGGCTCCAATATTCCCTTTTTTCCTCAATTTTCAACCCAAACAGGAATTCAGGATTTGGGATCTCCTTTTCCCCTCAATTTTCCCTCAAAAAGACTATGGGATTTCCCTTTTCCCTCAATTTCCCTGCAAAAAGGCCCCGCGATTCCCTTTTTTCCTCAATTTTTCCCCCAGAATGGCATTGGGATTCACTTTTCCCCTCAATTTTCCCCCCAGAAACCGAATTCAAGATTTGGGATCCCCTTTTCCCACAATTTCCCCCCAAAACATGGAATTTAGGGCTCGGGGGGGGCTTTTTTCCCCTCACAAAAAAAGCCCCCAAATCCCCTTTTTTTTCTCCTCCCGAGAGTCGCCCTCTTGCCTTACCTCCCGCCGCTAGGGGGCGTCGTTTCCCCGTCCCGCCCCCTTCCCCTCCAGGGCCTCGCGCACGCGCCTTGCGGCCGGACAGTACCAGCCTGAGGGGAACGCGCGGGGGGAGCCACGCGAGGGGCAGGAACGGGCGAGTCCATTGCGAGACGAGCCCGGGGAGGTGTCGGGGAGGCTCCGGGGCCGCTGGTTGGTGAGAGGGGAAGTTTGGGAGGGGGGCTTGGGGCAAAATTGAGGGGTTTTAGGGGTAAAATGGAAGGGTTTTGGGGAGAAAATTGAAAGGATAAGGAGAGTCCGGACACTGGGGTTGTGTCTGGGACACGGGGCTGGGGAGAAGGGGGGGCGGAGAGCTGGGAATGGACGGGGATTGAAGGGAAAAGGGTGTTCCGGAGCGGTTTTGGGGGGATTCTGATGGGAAAAGGGGGTCTCGGAGCGGGTTTGTAGGGATTCTGAGCTAAAAAAAAGTGTTTCGGACACTTAAATCCCTTCATAGGAGTATCCTGGAGCTCCTGGGTTTCTATTTTGAGGGAAGTCTGAGGGGAAAAATATGTTCTCGGTTTCTATTTTGGGGAAACTCTGAGGGGAAAAAGGGATGTGGACACATAGGTCCTCTTTTCAGGGCTCCTGGACCATCTGAGTTTCTATTTTGGAGGAGCTCTGAGGGGAAAAAGGGGTCCCGGAGCGGTTTTGGGGGCGGATTTTGAATTAAAAAATGGATTTCGGACGCTTAAATGGTGTTTTTGGGGGGGTTCTGGACCTTCTGAGTTTCTATTTTGGAGAAACTCTGAGAGGAAAAGGTGTCCCGGATACTTAAATCCTATTTTTGGAGGGATTCTGAGGGGGAAAAATGGGTCTCAGAGCACTTTTGGGGGGAAAACTGAGAGGAAAAGGGGCCCCTGAGTGCATTTTGGGGGGTCCCTGGGGTGGTTTTGGGGTAATTTGGGGCTTTTTGGAGTCCTTTATGGGTTTTTGGGATCCTTCAGGGGGGTCCTTTAGGGGTTTTTGGAGTAATTTGCGGGTTTTGAGGTCCTTTGGGGGGAACCTGAAGAGGTTTTGGGGGTCCTTGAGGGAGTTGGGGGTCCTTTTGGGGGTTTTGGGGGGGTTTCCTGGTGTCCTTTGGGGG